AAGGTGCACATTTCTGTACGCAGCATGAGACGCTGAACTCAAATCTGCTTTCATTATCTGCTGAACTCTTCTCTGAAAGGAGTTACGGAGGGTTTTTGTTGCCGCCCTTGATTTTCAGTGTCTTGCCTGCAATCACATGTTAGCTCCATTATAAAAGTATCGAAAGAAGAACCGAACAGCCGATGGGGTGAGCTTCGGTAGCGCAGTTGGTAGCGGTCTTGCTTCTCAAGCAAGGGGTTGGGGGTTCGGTTCCCCCGGGTTTGGTGTTTTGCTTTTTTGTCAACATGGCTAAAAAGCCTTTTTGAATCCGTTATTTTATCAATGGTCGCCCGACGCTACATCTACGAAGAGTTTGCAAGCAGATCCTCTTAAGTTTAAGCACTACTTGTCTGTGAGTGCCCATGGTGCCCGTAGTGCAGGTGCTATGCTTTTCCGTGGCAAGTAGGTACGATATTCGTATTCAGGGGATCAAACTACCCTAAAACGAGTTTTTCGCCAAATCTGAGGTCATGAACTAATTGAGAAAAAGCGGAGCAGTGATGGGATTACCACTCCTCAAACTCCACTTTTTTGGGTTGACCAATCATGGACGACGGGGGAGAGGAGAGGGGTTGTATTAGGAAATAATGCCTTGCAGATCTTTGGATGATGCAGACGGGCAAGCCAGACACAATTTTTGTCTATTTATGAAAAGTTTGAAAGGTTTATTCTACCCAAGTGCCAGCCTTTTGTAATGGATTGGTGGATCGGTAAGTGACTGCCCAAATTTTCGAGGTTAGGTCAAAATTTCAGAATTCGCTAGAAGTTTGCTCAAAGGGAGAGTCTGGACTCCCTGATTACGAATATCATACTTGTTCGAAGCAAAAATGCCTGGCGCCTGCGCTACAAGCGCCCAAAGTAGTGAGGAGCGATGCCGCCCAAGTTCGTTATTAATTGCCCTTAATTCTTTGTACTGTTAACTATACGCAAGCATGTTGGACTAGCGATGTTAGGAATCTTCCTAGCTATCTTACTGCAAACGGCAAAAGAACAAACTCGCCAGGGAGTCGATCCCCTGACCTCTTTTTCGTGAGCCTCGACCACAGCCCCTGCGCTTTTCTGCTTCATAATTCCTTTCAGAGAAGAGTTCAGCAGATAAGGAACACATATTTGAGCTCAGCGTCCCAAGGCGCGTATAGACATATACATCTCATTTGAATTGGCCAAATGACCTTTCCTGGTAGGACTCATGCTTACAATTTGTCAATATTCTATCTATTAAAACTTTGCAGCTGGGGTTGTTCCAGCTGTAACATATTCGAAGATACTTTTTCCCATCAATCTTTCGCACAGCTACTCAGGGAAGAAATTCCTATACACCGTAAATCCTTGTGACTGTAGTTATTGCCTGATCATCTGAAATTTCTTTTGCCGCGGCAAAGTCAACTGCCCACTTTTTCTATGCAGCATTTAGTCATTTTTGGCTACTTCTGCACTCCAAGAAAAGGTATATTAGCGAAACAGATCGGATCAGAACTATCTAGTTCTCCAACTTAGATCTACGTCTGAAGCCACTCTGATCCGGCCCTTTGAGCTGTATTCATGACTAAATGCTCCGCGATTTCAGTAGAATGACTTACAAACAGCTCCAGCCTTTTCTCGTCTTGTCGTTGCATATCAAGGTACCAAAACAACTTGTTCAGTTTAATAGTTCCATGTTTGTAACAAGTCCGCACGCCTGCATACTGCCACTGAAAATGTGAACTGAAAATACCCGAAATTCAAGCACTGCACGTTAAATTCAGAATAAAGGCTTAACACGTTGACGACCGCGCTCATTTTCACTGTCTGGACCGCGCGCATTATTCTGACCAGCACGAATGTGACATGACGTCATATCACACGGTCTAAACGAGAACGCCTTTTTGGAGAAATATTTGTTTGTAATCTTTCTTGTGTGGTAGTGTCAGATTTCAATCTTGGCCATTGCAGCGATATTTGCGATTTAAGAGCGCGTCTAAAGGCTAAAGCTGATGTGCGTGTAAGAAGATAGCCTCGTAGGATCACTTCCTGGTCCCTGTATTTAGAGCTTACAGAATGATGTTGGATTGTAATCGGACCTATATTTCGAAAATCACTCACAGTGTCAGAAAGTGATAAAAAACACGGCCCGGTGACCGCGCCGCGGCGATCACGGTGGGTGGTCCTAATTTGACCGTTCTACCACTGCTCCGGATTGGCAAGAATGACGCGAAAAGTATCTTATATATTATATAAGGCCCAGTGAAACACAAGTAAACGGTTCTCTACTTCGGATTAGACTCTCGTCATCGTCACGCCGCCATCACCGTTCGCCGTCGCCAGTTCAACGCCCAGCTCCACCACTTCGCCGCTCAATTATTCTATCTATTCTCATTCTATTCCAATAAGTTATTCGCTGTTAATAGTTCTATAAAATTGCTCAAGTTGAAGAGTTCTTCTGTGGCACTCTGAGTAAAAACACAACATGGTCCACACACTCCCACACCACAGGAAATTTTTGAGCTACAACCTCAAGATTTGCGGAAATGAGGCAGGGAGCGCAAAAGAAAAACATGTCCAACACGCAAAAAGCGGACACTATAAAGTATGCGTCAAAGAAGCGTCAATGATGCTCCCGTGCTCCTCGCAAAAGTGTCCCTCTACCCGTAGTAAAACTATTCTACAACAGTTTTTTTTGGTACGATGCTTTCAGAAAAAATTATAAAAACCAATTATTCAAAACAATTTTTCGCAAACTCGATAAGCCCCCCCATTAACCAACAGCTTCTTTTCTAGGGACGCGCCCACGCTTATCTTGTAGCAATGTCAACGAGGGTATACATATCCACATAAACAAGTTCCACTAAATAAAAAATATCTGCAAATGTTTGAACCAAGCTTACAAAGACTATAGACATGCATCTAATGTCACACTGTCCTGCACTGCCGAGAGTGTGGTGTTACATCATACCATTCCGTCGTCAACGTGTTAATGACCAAACCGAAAAATTAACGCTCAATGGCAAAAGATAAAACATAGTGTAAAAAGGCAACAAGCGTACAGCTGTGAAACGACTGAGACGCTCCCGAGTATGCCATTCGGTCCGGCTTTCGGAATAGTCCTGAAATGGACTGGTAGGCAACTATTGATAGATTCGACGTAACCACAGACAGGAGTTATCCGCATACCTGAATGAATAAAAATAAATCACCTCACTTGCTACAACAGGCTTCTTTTGCGTATTTATTGTTGGACTGGTGGATTGGTGATCTCTTTGCCTACAAAGAAACTCGTCACTATCTAAGAAACAATCTGAATAAACCGCGGGTTCACATATGCGGAACGGTCTGGGCATCGACTAAGATGTAGGAAGCACGCAACAGCAAGACAAAGCTCACTCGCCAAAACGGGCGTTCATGTACCAAAACAGGTGATACCGAAGTCAATTGTCTAATTCGCTTTCAGAACAGCTCAGAAGCCGGGAAAATGAGTGAGGGATGCAAGAAGTCGCGACAGTTTTCTGGAAATGCCATACTGAGGTTGGGTCATATGCGTTAACAAGCAGACTAGTAAATTCTGAATATTATAACCCGGGTGTTAGTTTAACCCTGACATAGCGAGCAAAAAATAAAAATTGGTGGCGGTGAAGCGCACTGAAAGGAGGCGAAAGTGCAACTTGCATAGTGGAGGACTGCCACCGCTCAATGTCCTTTTTCACAATAACTAAGCTATGCACCAATCGACATTCCGCCATGATGACAGTAGTACTAAAGCACCATTTGAGTACGGGTCCTAGTGAATATCACAGGTACCACCAATCCATGTAAGAATCATTTTCATTGGAGTTTTGTCTTTCGAGATAGCGTTAAGATGATAAAAAGAAAGGCAAAAATTCATAACGCATGACACAACATTAATAATTAACCAGATGTACATAACCAGCTCTGGAAGAGCTACCACAGGTAATGAAAGCATCCAACAACCACACCGGCACTGAAAATTTAGGCACTCATGCGGTTTGTGGTGGGGGGGGGGGATGGGGGAGAAGACTTCAAGTCATTGCGCCACAGTGCTTGAGATTAAATCTTAGGGATGGGAAGGCATCCTAGGGGAGCTTGCGAGCGATCTTTCTTTTCCCTGGCATTCCTTCATTCTCCGAGCCAGCAGAGTCACTTACCATCCGGCCATGTTTTCGATCTCACCCCCCCCCCCCCCAGAAGACAACCGACATTCCTACTTCAGCAATTTTGGCAAAATGGAGAATCACATGTGTTAATGGCTTTCCTCAATACCAATCCACTCACACTTTACAGTCAACCAGATTGGTCCCCGTCAAACGCCGGAACCTTCTTTCCCTGCGTAGCCTTTGCGTCCTCCGCTGTGGTCCCTTCCACCTGTGACGCCAACCCCTCGTGCAGTTGACGCGCATGCAAAGAAAGGCGTTTCATATAGTAGAGGGCATCGCCCTAATCATGAAATGACGGTGGAATGACGTATCAATACCTAAACATAACCTAAAGTCTGTTAAGGTAAGACTCTTGCTTTTCGCCCCCCCCCCCCCCCCACCATTCCCTTCTCTCTCAATTGCCCTAGCTACCACTACACGCAACCATGTGGAATGACCGGAAGTGTACTCAGTGGGTGTTTATTACTATATGCCTGGTAGGGTATTGATCATACTTAATGTCCTATTGAAAACATTTGATAGCTCAAGCCCTTGAGCTAGCCCCATTCTGTCAAACGGGTTGTTTATTCACCTAGCATGCCCTTGTCCATCCACTCATTTTGTGTGTGCGGAAGAATGACATGAGCATACACACCCGACACACCAAGTTAGACGTCTTATAAAATAGAAGGATTTTACATCTACACAATGATGCAGTATTTCTTCTAAAGGCTTCTTTAAGGACTATACTGAGGTAGGTGGGCGGCTCAATGTTCAACAGTAAATTTGCAACGACTCAGTCACTGAGACCAGACATCACGCTTTCTCCATGGTTTTGAGGTCATTTATTGGTTAAACCTGCTCAAGTTAGAGTAAAGCGCTGTCTTCCAATACAGGATTAATTTTTATGACTCCCGACCCCCAAAACTTTTACAAATTTGCAACACAATGAAATGCATAAAAACTCTCACCTCAGTTTTCGAGTATTCGTGGGATGTGCTTCTTCTGTAAATGTTATCCTCGTTCCAATAAGTAGAAGCTAACTATGGGAAGGCGCAATGGTCCACGCACTCCAACTAGGTTGCTCCAATCGCAATGCCGGTTGGCAGGCGGCCAAATTGCATCTACCGTGTTCTTGAACACTTTTCCACGGAGGACCCTTTAATCCCAAGATGAGCATCACAGTGAATCGATACTCATTTGGACGTCCGCCAACGATAATAAAATCGTTTTTTTTTTGGTGGAATGTGCCCACACCTATTCGGGTGTTGTGCCGTATGGTTGTCGTGAGACATTTTCAATACTTTTGAATACAGTAGAAGTAATTTCGACCACGTCCAATGAGGCCCTTGGTCGGACGTTTTGGCGTAGTTTTCAAATACAGGCCGTGAGTCGCCGATTAACCACTTATTCCTGTCTTTATCTTCCTGTACTTTGTTAGGGTGGCCTCTTTGCTGAATGCTTTCCGTTTTATATGGTTCGTGTCTTATAATTAACTGCGACAAATTAGGGACACGTGTTTGATAATGCGTCGCAATTTCTCATTGTTTCTTCGTTGTTTTTTCTAATAATACAATTGCTTTGATTGACTCAGCCATCGTGAAAGTTGTGTATTTCTAAAGTCATGTTGTTGTGTTAGCTGAGTTGTTCGACAGTAGTTTTTGATGCGCAATCTTTCTCATACATTTTCAGTCTGTGCTGTATTTTGCCATGATTCTGGTGCATCGTCAATAATCGAATGTTCACACTCCGCAAGCTGCTCGCAGGCCGCCTGGCAGTATGCAGCCTGGTGCTCCTGTTCAAAGTCAAGCGACATTCATGCGAAGGAAAAGTGAATGTTGATAAGATTATAATTATAACTTCACTTGAACGATTCCTCATCTTCGGTAACGGTGCTTGAAAACCCTCGTTTACATCTAATGTCATGCGCTGGTCATTGGTGATTCCCATTTCAACTTGAATTTTTTTCTTCGTATTAGAGGGTGACATGATGTCATCTCCGTCAGCACGCACAAGCACTCAAGTGTCCTGATAAGTTCGCTAGTGGAGATTCGGCCACATAAATATATTACATGAATTTAAATGGTATTCAAAACTCAGTAATCTACTTTAAGCATTGAAAATTCGGGTGTCCAGTTATAACGAGCAATTTTCCTTCAAGTATCTAACACACCAGTCTGTTTAAGTGCGGAGGAGCCACGATCCCCCGACGTAAAGAACTTGAAGTGGAAGGGTGATGTCTTGGCTGTGAATCGTGTGCAGTTGTAGTGTACAAGCGATTAGAGTAGTTGATTGACCCCGGGTTACCTCACTATTTTTAATTCTTTGAGATCAGTGTCGCATGGATTTTCTTCCTCATTTTAGACTCGCTGCCTATGTGTACGAATACTTGGTCATCTCTGGAGCTACGAAAACTGCCGAAGTGTTCAAAGAAGAAGTTTTGAATGTGAGAGCATAACTTTTCCGCACTGATCATAATATAAAATCGCTCTTGCTTTATCTCGCAATCTTTTAGAACGTTCCCAACGGAGCCATCAAGCCCAGTGAGATTGGTCCAGGATTCTTGCAAAACTGGTGGATGTGAGTGTATACAATATTTGGGGGGGGGTGGGGGGGGGGGGTGGTTCATGCCGTACTTCATATACTCTGTTGTAGCAGCCTTTTTCCATCCAGCTACTTTTTATAAGAGTTTTGCCCCTTTTCTATTCCAATAAACTACTAATTCATCGAGGCCTCTACCCCTTATCCTTTGTGTCAGGCTGTTTTGGGATCTTTATTGTGCAGCTCCTGAACGGAGAGATGGACCCGATGGTCAATCAACGCAGGAAGCTAAAGCCTTTCATGACTTCGTGCGTATCTCATCTTTAGGCTCACTGTAGACAGCAGGCTACAGATGTTTTGCAGACATAATTTTATCATTTTAGGGATTCGTTCCTGGTGGTTTTTGGGCCGCCCGGACCAAGTGATGAACGGAATGCACGGTCCTGGGGTAGGTCATTTAAGTCATGTCACAATGCTTTGTTTGCTTTTCAATTTCTTCTAACTCGTCATTCATCTACTCCTTAAGGGTTCTTTTTTAGTTGGTCTCATGAAGCTTGTATGCGCTCATTTGTTTCACCCATTGTTTTAACTCATGCCAGCGCGCCGCGGATTTGAGATGGCGATAGGTCGCATCTCGAGGTAATAGACGCGCAATGCGACAATGGGCATGGTGAATGCAGTGAGAGTGCCAGACGGTCAGGGTGACACAGCGCACGCACTCAGCGAATAAATCAGACGTGATAGTCAGAGATGCAGAGCCCGGTCAGTTTTGTGGTGAACGTTTCGAATTCATCGTCGAAAACATGTGAAGCGACTAGGCGTGTAGAAATAGAAGTGACAGAGTGGGAACAGTGGTCGTGAGAGTAACACCTGCGTCTTTCAATTTGCTAGCACTTACTTCGAAGGAATTTGATGTCGGTGTCGAGTCGTTGTTCATTAGCTGTAGAGTGAATTGCTTGTATAGTGCCGTCATCTTAACCATCCAAAAATAAATGAAAGGGACCATTCCAAGCGTTGCTTTTTCCTCTGATGTGCATATCACATTCATTTTATGTTAATCTTGAAATCTCAGACATTGGGCTTGTTAATCCTGAGAAATGCGTAGTGATCATTTAGTATTAGAGTATTGTTAGGAACTCTATCCTTTCTAGACGATTTCTTGAGTTATTTTTTTACCCATTCGTCAACTGTGATAGATGAATTCAATCGAGTAGCCTTGGCATAATCCTACGAACCGTGCAAAGAGCAGAACACTGGTGAGCAGTACTTGTTGCTATTGCGTCGACTTTTCGAAGACTGTTTTTACTCGGTCGTTCTTGCACTTAGTTTTTGACTAATCAAAACATCAATAGTGTCGAGATGCTGATCAACTGATAATTATAATTTCCTAATAGTAATTAGATTTGACAAAGGCTACTTAAATCTAAAAGGAAATAGCTAATGTGCAGCTTTTACGAGAGCAGTGTTTCCGTAGCGTCGCTTTAGTAATCTGATTTTGTTCACTTCTCTTTGTAGACCGAAGTTAACCTTAAATTCGTTCGATTTTCAACTTGAGGGCGAGAAAGGGGTCGAACGACCTGCGCGTGTTTTTATCGCCACGTAATATAGGTCGCAATTTCAATACTGGCGAATAAGGTCGTATCGGCGAGGACAACGAGGAACTGCTAAGTGAACACGAAATTCGCGGGATGTGAATTTATTGTCGAACAAATGTTACTGGTTATCATTTCCTAACTTGTCATATCAAGAATTCCGGAAGATTTAATTACACAGTACTACGGGTGATTTACTGTGCTATCTTGCGCGACCTGTTTGGGTGACATCGAGTGGGGGTCAGTGAAAACAGTTTCTAGCAACCGTTCCTGAATTGCACATTGAACTTTTTCTATTCTGTTCTTTGTCCATGCTTTGAAGTTAGCTTCTGCGTTGTAGCGTCTCCAAAAGACTTCGGCTAGGTTCTACACGGTGAACTGTTTTCTGGATGGAGTAATAAAATCACACCCCGGTGTATTGTAAGATTGGAGTAATTTCTTTGATGAAGTCAGTAGTATAGGATTTGTGATATAAATTTTCTTTGCGCACCCTACACTGCATTTGCCGACGACATAAGAAATGTTGGGGTCCCTTCCGATACAGCAATAGCGGTAATGTGTTTAGCAGACAGAAGTTGAGAATAGAGCTACGCAGATAGCTTCAGTGAAGTGGGTTGGGAGGCAACTAACCCGTTGCAACTGTTTTTTTTTTCTTGAGATTTTCAACGAGATAGTCCACGTTGGGAGTGAACTCACTTTGAGGCAATGTTTTGCAGTTCATAAAGCGTGCACGTTTTCTCCTGGTGTCTACTTCAGAATCTTGTGAAGTAAACAGGCGTAGCGATACTATTTGCGATCTGTCTTCATGGATGAGGTCTTCCGCACCGAAACCAATTGAATTATTCATATTTCAAATCATGATAGCACACGATTCGTGAGAATCGAAGCACGTGTGATGTATGCCGATATCTTGCCTTCCTCGAATTCAATAATTCATTAAAGAAACCCTTCCTGGACAACTCTTGTATTGTTTCCCAACACGAGTATGTCTGTTGTGATCACTGCACACAACATGCAAAGTTTCGCACAAAGATTCAGTTCCCGAACAGAAACAAACTCCCAAAAACTACGCCCTATGGACAATCGAAGGTAAGTGGCGCGGAGCCAGAGGTGGGGCGTGGAAATGGTTTGCCTTGGAGCGGCTACGTATCAGACGAGGCGATGAAAGAATTGGGTTGAAGCGTACGATTTGGAGAGTAGAGACGAATCGATCGATTGAATAGGATGGAGTAGAAGTGTAAGATGTGAATGATATAAAGCTGAAGGTTCCAGGAAATAGTTTGTAGTGAACGCACTCCAAGAACCAAGTGAAGCATCTCCGTCGCCAGCATTTGTGAAAGAGATCCGTGGGCAACGCGTAGCAGCCCTCTCGGTTTTTTGAATTTTTTTATAAAATAAATGCAATCTTTTGTGTTCTTTTCGTTCTAATCGTGAACGATGGATCCCAAGCCAGTGAGTCATGGGTGCGATAGAATCACGATTTTTCTGTGGATTGCTTCAAGGAAGAAACGTGCATCGCGGAGTCTGCTGATGTTCTGTGTTGATGTTCTGCTTGGTTTGTGGGTGGGGTAGTATTCAAGTTGTCCTGCGAGGTAGGGTCGGCTAGGTCTAACTGAAAGAGTTTCTGAAGATTTTTTTCTTCAGAATTTTCAGGGAGTTCTGGAATTCATTCGATTTTTTTTCAGTTTTCACCTTACTTCTTTACTCACTCACAAGCAATGCCGTCGATATATCCCCCTCCTATCTACATGAGCTCTTTCGTGAAGTGATAAGAGAAGGACAATGTTGGAGATGTTGAAGCCAAGGGAACTACATCATTAAATCTGCCTTATCGCTAGACTTGGCCCTGATTCTTGTGCTTTTACTGGATGTGAAGTAGTGATTGTAACAGCGATCCGGTTATGTCGGGTAGGCATTCTTCGTCATTTCAGTATTACATTCATGTCACAATCCGTCTCTTTTGCGGTTATGACCGTTTTGGCGCGTACTTTGGGAAGAATCTCTAATGGCGAATGCAAGAAATCCTTGTAATAAGAAATCTTGCGCAATCAGTGGGCTATTTGAAATGTAATCCGCTCGCATTTGTCTCTCATCTTTCATCATATTTTCGTGCGTTTTTGTCGCCTTCGTATGCCTGGGGCGTGTTGTGGTAGTCCATGAAAAGATTACTGAAGTGACGAGTAGTTATGGGCGAGTCACCAGACGGTGGGAGCCGAATCAAGGGTAAAGGGGGCGGCGCGAGAAATTGGGGGAGAGATGCCGAGGAGGTTTGTGAGGAACCGCGCCCTCAGAGGGGCACGGAACAAACACAGACGTGTTTTCAAGACTTGCGTACTCTCATGCGAAGCCGGATGTGAAGAAAACAGGAATGCGTCTGTTAAAATGAGGGTGTGGAAGGGGCCAGTAGAATGTTGAAAGAGATTAGTCGAGTGACAGATTCGGTTTAAATGATGATATTTTTTACCTTCTACCGAAATGCCTCATCCTCGGATTTCAAGCGCGCCTTTCGCTGGCATGTAGGAGGGTTGGTAAGCAAAAGTGTATTAAAATAAAGCCTTCACCGTCATCGTTGGGTTTTCTTTTCTGAGTGCACTTTGCATCGGTCGTGGAAGCGATAACTACCCATACGTCGCCGTTTTTATCATGCTAGTGTTTATTTCATACCGGCATGAAACCTCCTCATTGGCCGAACTTTGTTCTCTAGATAAACAGGGCGAAAGATGTCAAGTTTTCTGATATTTTACGTTCCTTTGGTTTTTTTTTCAAGGTGCGCTGCTTTTGCTTTTTTACTGTCTAACGTTCCTATAGCGGATGCTGCCACTATAAACAAGCGGCTTCCAAAAGCGAACTCTGTTTTTACTGTTAATCAGTCTGGAAACAAATACTCTTCTGGTTGTAAAAACTGGAATTTCAACCATCTTACTCAAAAGGGCTGTAAATTCCAGTTCTGCTTTCTGCTCGCGGCCTAGTTACGAGCTTTTTTGAAAACGCTCGTGGTCAACAGTGCAAAGGTTCTATAAAGGCAGAAATGAACTCCATCACCCAACAATTATTTTATATTTCTTTCATCTGTCTATTTTTCGTAGAATATTGTCGACATCTTTCATTCATTTGCGATTCATTCAGAGTATGAAATGGCTTGAAGTAGGTGCCTACCTATTCACAGAACTAAATCCAAATCAATTGGTGGGCTAGATATGACAGTAGCGAGCGCTTCACAGGAGTAGTTCATGCTTCTGGCATTTATTTGAAAAAGTCAATTTTGTTTTTGTTTTTCATTGTTAAGTGCGTGCTGTTTCTGGCCGCAGAGCACCATGCCGAAGTTATCACATAATGCTGAGTGCTTGGAGCAACGCGTTATGGGCAGGACGCTTTGCTCCAGCCAGGATTAGAACCCCATCTTTCGCAGGGGCTACCAATTACACTACTGAGTTGCCCTTCCCCTAATTCGGCTTGATGTAATCCGCTTCTTTCGCGGCCGCTGAAGTAGGGCTAGGTCCTACAGGAGTGCCAACTTCTCTAGAGCGTACTTTTTCGTCAAACTTGGTTTCTTCAAAGGGCCTTGTAAACGTCTTTTGCATACATAACATAACTACATGCAGCTATCTGTCATCTTTGTGAAATTGCACGTCTTCCACTTTTTCTAAATTGAAAAAAAAAATCAGTTCCTCGAAGATGCTTCCATACCTGCTGCCCCTAGTAACAGTAGATATGCAATTCATTCTTATTGTGTGAAGGATTGCTTAAACATTTTCAGTTTCCTGGCGGACCGGGAATGGGAATGCCTGGACCAGAGGCTATGATGCCAGGTTGGTAGACGACTTTTAGTTAATTGTGATTGGATTCTTTGCACTTCATTGCAATTGTGATTTTTTTTTTTTATTCAGGGCATCCAGGTGGTCCAGGATTTCCTAGTCGATTCCCAGGAAGAGCCGGTTGTCCACCGGGCGCTATGCCTCCAGGCGGATTTGGAATGTTCCCCGGTGATCCGAGAGCAATGCCTGGCCAACGGATGCCACCGAATGCGGCAATGCGTATGCCGCCCGCTTCATTCGCTCCTGCTGGAATGCGACCAGGTGCGCCAGGAGGACCACCTCCTCCACAAGGTATCTTTTTCGGCATGTTTCCTAAGTTTCATGCTGAAATTTTGTCGCATGATTGATTAAGGAATGAGATATGGTGCGCCACCTGGTGGAGCGTTCATGGATTCTCCAGGACAGGCATTTCCACCCGGTGCTGGCATGATGCCAAACGGTGGTGGTGTGATGTGCTCGCAAGCGCCGGTCGGTATGTCTATGTCCTCTCCTGGAATGCCGCCTGCTGGCGCAGCTGATCCTCATGGATTTATGATGAGCGGTATGCCGTCAAGCTCCACTGCCATGCCTGTAAGTCCTTTGCATTGTGTTGCTTACACTATATAGGGCATAAGCATAGAATGTGACGGGTAAACTGTTGTCCTTGATCCTAATTTTCTGCATTTTAAACGGCTGAGAATTACTTTTTTCTTCTCCCGTCTTCGCCACATTTGTCCACATTTTTAACGGATCCATAATGATGAATGAATTTGATCGTTGTTGCAGTTTGGTATGGGAGATACATCAGTGACCATGGGTAATGGTATGGGACCAGGAGGAATGGGGCGGGCCGGGTACTACTGGCGGTCCTGATGGCGGGCCGCTGACAGGGTTGCTGAACGGTGAAGAGCTGAAGCAGTCACCTGCCTCGACTCCTCGAGGTGGTGTGAACGGTGGAACACCGGCTCCGCCAGGATCAGCTCACAGTATGCAGCCCGCGTCCGTACCTGGAGGAGCTGAACTAATGGATCAACAGAGCACTAAAGTAAGTCTTTCTTATCTCAGAACATTTTAGCATTATTGACCTGATAATAACTATTGAGGGTAGGTGATGATTAAAATGTTTACATTATAGATTCACGACTTATATTTATTGACGGTTACAATCTGATGAGGAAGAAAAATCTTTGTCACTGTTACTGCATTGCCCTCGCACTGAAACTTTGTTCTGCGCGAAATTTGCATGGCTTGAGGCTTTAAGTTGACGTCGATTTCGACATAGTAATTGAAAGATACCGTTTCTAGGCAATTGAAGCATAGGCATTTCTCTTCCACCTAATGAAAAAAAAAACACATTCTCTCTCCTGGCATCGTAACCAGTACAGAGTGAACTTACGCACATTCAATTCCTTTTTGTATCTGGGTGGTGCATCATAATCTAAATGTTGAACAACAATTGGAGGCTCCAAAAAATTTATTTCAAAAAGCTTCAAAAGGACTTAATCTCTAAAGCTTTCCAAAATAATTGCGATATTTTGCCAAAACCTTATGACGGCTATCGGATCAGGACCATCTGGAGATACATCAATATCTATCCCGTAATCTAGTTCAAAGCTTATGAGTCAGTGCTGAAAAACTATATCCGGTAGGCAACCACTTAGATGTTTAACCCATCACGGACGCGACATGCTGTAATATTCGCGTGCGCCACCTTGTGGCGCACGCCGCCACCCAGGGTAGGGTTTATGTAGGCTTATGCGAACAGCAGGGTTAAGACGGGGCTAAAGTAGGTGTCCGTGTCTCATCATTCAAAAGAAGAGATTTCCGTTGACGACAATGTTCGTAACCGCCTTTCCGCTCTAAAACTAGGGTGCAAAGAATGAATGGAAGCTGTAGGTGACATTATCGAAAAATGCGAAACAACAACCCCGAGCAAGGATGTGGCTATATTTAGGGGAAGGGGTCTCGGGACGTGCGAACCATGGGTAAGCCACCCATCAAATAATAAACTTATGTAAATTAAAGACA